GAGAGGAAGAGGAAGACGGCCTGATAGTCTGGGTGTACTCCACCCCGCCAGACGCCATCGAGGTCAGGCTGCCGCCCGCCCGGCCACCGGCACGCCTCCTTCATCTGCAGGAACGCAGAAGGGCGTCCGCTCTAGCGGTATTACGCAGCGTCAGGACTAGGGATCCAATCGAAAAGGGCCGGGAGCGACACAATGCGTCGTTACTTTAATTGAGCTTCCTGGTAGGATGATTAGCAACGAATGGAAGGCTGTTTTGCACTCTACGCATTGCTATATTCATTCTCTTATAAGCAGTGTCATCATCGAATCATCCGTGGCCAGCCAAACAGCCGTAAATCTTTGTTATTTCCAACAGATATAACAGGAAAAGTAGGTGCCATTAAGATAACCAAGCCACCTTTATACATGTGAGATACGCTGACATATCACATGTCTGAAGAAAGTAGGCAAACATGAACTAGTACAGAGCTAACATCCATGGAACGGCAGAATGCAGCACAGTATGCGTGGTCTCGGCCGCACCAGCTGTCATGGAAATTAGCACAGCTTCAACACGCTGATGAGTCATAGGGGCATAACAGTTACCATTGAGAACTGCCACCATTTGGCGTATTTCGGATCTGTGACATGCTTGCCCTTGGCACGTTAACGATGTCATACGCCTTTGAGCACTCTTCATGCGCGCTCTCATCGCATGGCTTGATTTACTGCAAGGAACTTTCAATGGATGCTTTGCTACGTCATCTGCGTGATTTACCATATCTACACTCTTCATGCGTGCTGTCATCGGATGGCATGCCCTCCCAACTCTATGCTTTGAGCAGCCATACCATATAAAGTAAAGAGAGCGGGGCATAGCTTTTGTTCGAGACGGTGGTGACCTGCTTGGACTTGACTTGACAACAGATTCCTCCACCAACAGGTTTTGGCTACGCTGTGAGGTGTTCTGACACTGAGCAGGCTCTGGAGAAAGCCAGGCGGGTCGCGCCATTGCGTGGCATGCATTTAGTGGACGGAGGTTAGCATTGTCTGGCCTGACAAAGACAGCTGTCGCTGCTGGGAGTCCTAAGCTTAACATGCCGTCACCGTCTTCATTAGCTGAAACCTCATTCAATATACCAGCAACAACCACAGCACGCACAACGGCACATTTAATCTTAAAAACAGAGGCTGCGTGTGTTTAAATGGCTGTTCTACAAAACGCACCGCCATGCGAATTCTGACGTTTACGGCGTGTGTGTGAATAACAAAAGAGAACGTTACGCTACTACAATCGGTTTTGTAAGTATATGATGTATATCAAGTACGTAATGACATCCTAGACGTTGCGCGCCGCGGGCATTTGAGTGATATCGCTGAAAGGCATTGGTGGGGCAGCGTAGCTGGCGTTTTAGGTAATCTCGTGACGCACTACCTGGAGTTGACGGACATTGCAAACCCAGTGAAGCCACTGACATCAGCTGTTCAGGACACCAGCTGTTCGCCTGGTAGGGACGCCCGCGAGTAGTTGTCGGTGTCGGTCAGTTAGAGTGAGGTGCGTCCCACTTCATTTTGGAGATGGGCCAGCAAGTGACCACTCTTGTTTGTCGTCTTGTTTTATTTATCAGAGCAGGCACTAAGGAAAACTGCGATTGGCTGAAAGGGGACACAAGAGTACAGTGTGCAGAAGTGTGCATACCTGACATCATGCCATACTTAGCCAGATGACGGAAGACATCATAGTACCAAACGCCCAGTACCCGCTCACCGTCGAATGTCCTGAACTGCAGCGCATCTGGCCCACATCACGGTGCATCTGCCGCGCCCGCATGCATCACAACCGGCTCTGTCTGCCGTGACGGACGGCCTGTCACACTGTGACGGACGGGCCGTCACGGCGTGACACGCCTCTGCCGGTCAGCGGCGCGTGCTGCCACGAAAGCACCGCATCTAATGCATTTATCGCGTTCAGATAATCCTAATCGTCAAGCGCCGTCACCTCCAATCACTTAACGTGCGGTTGGCAAGGCATCTGCCAGACTAGAATGCGTCGGCCCAAAATAGACGGATGGGTTTTGACTGGAGATCTGTGGCGCCGCTGGCAACTCCAGTCGGTGCCAAACTGAGGTTCTGGGGAGGCGCGACACTCAGGTGCTCATGTCACGTCACTTCGTGTGCTAAGTGACGTCACTTCACCCGAGATTACTGGAGACCAGACGGCGCTCGTTCTCAGTGACAACAAACTGGTCTTAGGTCATTGGGGCTCACTGAGTCCTGAGTGCGTCACAGTACCCAAACAAAGACCTTATAGCACACTTAATGCACGGTGCTCGTGCAGTACCTGGGTTGAGATTGCTGCAGGGCACGCAGCGCACGGTGTGTTCGTATGCGACAATACCTGGCCCGAAGTTTTGTAGAGCACACAGTGCACGATGTGCCCAATGGACTTGAGCTGAGTTTACAGTAGAGTACACGAGGCACGGGGTGTTCTTGTGCAACAGCAGCGAACCCAAGGCTTTGAGGAGCACACAGTGCACGGTGCATGTGACAGCACCTGACCGTCGAGAACCATTCTTTTTCACACACGTCATGCGAGATGGAGACGAGGATGCGAGCCACATCGACGAACCTGAATACTGTCGGGAGGTTTTTAAATTGCTTGCCGAGACTCGGGCTGTAGAGAGAAGTCGGAAGTCCACGTGGTCTGTGATGTTTTGATCCGGTGGCTGCTCATGACGCTTCATGAAGAATATTCGTGTATCCCGCAGTCTCAGTCGCGAGTTGCATACACCGATCTGATAGAACCCTTCCACCACCATCTGGGGTCGGCTGACCTGACCTGAGATGACCCGCTTGACCTCCACCAGGCCCAGACGTTTGACCGGAAAATGAACCCGAGGCACCTGGATAGGATAGAAAGCCAGTACCTTGCCCGTGATCACTACTGGACGAGTACTTGTGCTTGGGGACGCCTGACATCTGTTCCCTCGTCTGGCCTGCGTCAGTTTGGGGCCGGTCAAACACAACGTCATCATAAGGAGAAACCAGCGTACCCCAGCCATCTCAGAAGTCTTCCACATCGATGTGCAGTCCGCGTTGAAAATCAATCACCTGCTCAAGTCTTCCAGCCGTTTTTCCGAACGGCCTCCAGTAACCAGTGATCCTTCTGGGAGTTCGACAAACGAACACACACCGCTCACACACCACCTCGCTCGTCCGCCCAGCGCAGCACGACCATTTGGCAGCTGTGTGTGACACCTTTCGCGAGGTGTCCACATCACTCCACCAGGCTGTGGCCGTCCGTCACCGACCGTCAGCGTTCCTGGGACCAGTCCAGACCTGGCGACGCTGTCCCGCTCACAGGTCTGGAACACGGCGTGTGGAGGGCGCCACGTCCGTCCGCCGGTCCCGACGGGCGGCTACTGAACGGCCGTCCAAGCCAAACACCGGCCCATCTGGATCCCGCCGACCTCATGAGATGGGAGGAGAAACCCGGGGGTGGAGCCACGGGGTAGTGGGAGGGAGAGGACGGGAGGTGGAAAAGCAGAGCAGACCCAAAGCAGACCAGAGCAGCGGAATGTGCATAGGAGGGGAGGCATAGAGAGAGAGAGAGAGAGAGAGAGAGAGAGAGAGAGAGAGAGAGAGAGGGGGAAGGAAGAATGCTAGAAATCACAGCAGTGAAGTCCTGAAATAGTATTGCAGCGAAGACAATAGGACGTCGAGTTGGTGCATAAATAATTACGATTTACTATTACAGTACTATAAACGCTTATCCTTATCGTATACGCACGCTGCCATTAAATGTCCTCTCGTTCCGCCCATACGCCCAGAGTGATAAGAAGCCGATGGCCCCATCTGAGGTCGGGCCTGCAGGCACCGCGTACGGCTGCCGTGTGTTTGATCGTCGGCTATTGACGATGATCCACTGGCCGATAGGAGCGGCGGCGGGCTCCACCCGATGACCGGAGGGCGCTGGGCGGCGCTCTCTCCGGACCGGGACGGCACGGCGCGAGGCGTCTCGCGTGAAGACGACAGACCACCGGTGATAGAATGGTGGGGATATGAAGGGGGCAGAACGCAGGGAGAGAGGGCTGACGTGACCACTGTGGCAGGACGTGACTAAGCAGGGAGAGAACGGAGACATGGAGGCTGGGGTAGAGGACGGGGCGATGGGGAGGGAGAGGTGGGGGACCGAGTGGTTGGGCGGGGCATGATTTAGTTAGGGGAAATAGGACAGAGATGACGAAGAGGCAGGAAGGAGGAGAGGACACAAAGAGAAGCGCCAGGGTTCATGGAGGAGACACTGAGATGTTTACGGAAAATTAGATGAATTTTTCAAAATGTGTTGATTTGCTCATGCAATAAGTGTGGTAAAGGTCAATTGTTTGTAAGCATTGTCATGAATATTGTGTAGTGTAGTCGGCAGCGTTGATGTCTGTCCATGAAGCCCTGTTATTAACCCCAGAGCTCTTCCTCAGATTGCAGGCGTACTCTGAGCAGGAGGCGTCTGAGCAGGGAGAGAACGGGAGCAGGAAGGCTGGGGTAAAGGAAGGAGGGTAATGTAGAACGGCACATCAGAGAAGAGGGCGGAACAATGGGAGATGGAGAGAAAGGTGGGAAGGAGAGACGAGGAACTGAGAGGTCGAGGTGCAGGGGATATGCTGAGGAGGGGAAGGGGAAACAGGACGGAAAGAACGGAGGGGCAGGGAGGTTTGGGTAGGAGTGGGGAGGATGGAGAGGGAGAGAGAGTGCAGGGGCCAGGGAGGAGACACTGGGGTGCTTTACGGAATTTAAAATGAAGTTTTCGAAATGTGTGAATTTCCTCATGCATAACGTGTGGTAGAGGTCAGTTGCTTGTAAGCACTCTGATGAATATTGGCTGGTGTAGTTGGCAGAGCTCGTGTTTGTTCATCAAATCCTGTTATCCACTCCAGAGCTCTTCCACAGATTGCAGGCGTCCTCTACAAAGCAGTGAGTCTGTCTAGAGGCAATTAACCTAACAAGTTCAGGGATGCCATGCACTGGCAAGCGTGCGTGGCAGCATGGCAAGAGTTCGGTGCACGAAATGTTTTTAACGATGCTCTTAACTGTTAGGGTGTCCAGGTTCCATGCAAGAGCTGACACGTTTTCTGACGTATCCGAAGAAATATGATTGGTTTAATAATTCAGATGTTTAATCAAATACTTGCTTAAGGATACTCTAACGATTTAAACTATCAGATATATTGCGATCAGCAGTTATGATCCCACATATATCAGTTCAAGTTTGCTCAGATTGTCTGTTCATCTAAACGCCATTTCTGTTTTCATGGTATTAAATTACCTGCGTAAATAATTGTGGAAAGATCATGTCACCTATGCTAGATATCTGCTGCGTAGTAATGCTCGGTGATGGGTTCGTAGACGTCTCCAGGCCATTTTTCCTACCAGCCGAACGAAACTGCATCGATGCAATATTCAGGATGTAAAATTCGCAATCATAATAAAAAACTATTGCGTTTGAGGCAAAACACTTATCATCCTGTGGCAGCCGCTGAAGGCACTTGTGTTAATGAAGTGGCACAGCTAGCCTTTTGATGCGCCAACCGGCTATGAGATCGTCTTTTAATATCGACTCAGAACCACAGCCGTCATGTGCCACGGCCTCCAATCTCTGACTGATGAGATCTTCCTGTACTAGATTCTTCCTCTCCCCCGCCCCCTCATGATGAATGGATGGGTGATCGCCGCCCTCGTGGAGCTGCTGCCGGCGTGCAGACGATGGCCAGCAGTGAACAGCAGGCGATAATATCCGCCACCACCAGAGGAGCACAGAGGGCGTCCACAAAGCACAGATGGGGTATAGAAACGACAGCGTCCACAAAAGCCTGCATAGCGTGCTTAGAGGTGACAGTGTCCACTAAAACGCGCTGTGCGCTGCGCGCCCAGAGACACCGCAGAGACGACGGTGTATTCCACGGCGCAAAGGACGGGGAAAAGACGATAGGGAGCACCACAGCACAGAAAACACCCACGAGGGTGCATCTTGAACACCTCAGAATGCGTAAGAGGTGCAGAAGCGATGCTGGACACATCAGTGCAGAGGGGGTGCAGGGCGTCGACAAAGGTGCACGACAATAAAGATTCTCGCAAGCCATCCATCCCCACAGTGCCCGATTATCTTTAAAGCGTTTTACAATTGTTGTTCATTTTAGCACTTTGACGTTTCACCCTGGCAATACCCCTTCAATTTTGATAGTCCTGGTCATGCATACATTCATGGTGTGAAGGAAAGTGACGTCTTCCTCGGTGCTGACAAACAAACAGATCCAGTTTTCAGATTCAGTTTCCCGCGCCGAGTCCCATGTTTTCTAATTGTCTGATTTGGACCCCCAGGTCGTCCCACCCCTCCCACCCGTGCTGGACTCGGTATGGCTCGATGAGGGCACAGCCGGAAGGCCCACCCGACCCCCGGCCTCGGTCAATCATCATCGGATGAATTATCCAGCGGAGGCCGTGTTTGTTCGCCGCGGGCTGTCTAAGGCAGCCTCCCTCGGAGGTCTGCCGCTTGAAGCTCACCCGAGGTAAACGTCAGCACCGGCACGCGCCAGGGAACAGTGCTGGTGTGAAGGAAACAGATCGGTGACAGCGTGTGCTTTCGGGTGATAACATCGAAACCACGGGAGCAGCTTTAGATGCGCGGGTGTACGCAGCGCAGAAAGCACCAGTGCAAAGAATGCTGGATTATGATAACAGTCACAGTGGATAATAACACTGCTAAGCGGTTAAAGCACTAATCATCTTTTTCAAACTTTACCATACCGCTCAAAAGCTGCCACCACTATGCCAGCGTATGTCACAGCCTATGGCGGGTCTGAGTCCGGAGCTTTACGTCAACCAAAGAAACATCGCATGCAGACAGTGCCACACCGAAGCCGCCATATAACAGGTTCTCCCTCCATGTGCGAATGATATTGGCGAATTGCTACACAATGTTGAGCCCGCTCTTCTTGATGCACAATAGGCATAAGCCGGAATGCTTTCAGTCCTCACATGTTGACCCATTTGCGGTATCGTTAAACACCTTACCTTTATAAGCGTCGTGTAAGCCATTCAAAGATGACCTGGTGAGTCGCTGTGGTGTAGACCTGAGCTTATAGGTGTCCCGTTGGTCCGTTTCATTCAGGACAAATATTCGCACAGCACCCACGGGCACACGACTTCCACACACACCACTGCGGTACAGGCCGGTCACCCGCACCACGTGACCCCTGACCCGGGTCAGGCCGCGGTACACGTGGATGACCCGCACCTCGGCAGTGACGTCACCGCCCGCTCCGTCAATGAGCGTCTGTACTTTCCCGGACAGCGTGACCTGAGACGTGTTGACCGTAGCCTTGAATGACTCCCCAATGCACGGAGTCCAGTACTTTGTCAGATTCGGTTGACTCCCACGGCATTGGCTTGTTCCCACTACAAACACAACACACACCAGAGTCCACAACATACTCGGCGTGACTGGACGGAGTCTCACAACCAGCGCCATATCAGCTGTCCGGGAGATGTCCGTGGGTGACGCCCGCAGTCTAGATCGCCGCCGCCTCTGTCTGGCCACCTTCCACAGATGACGTGATCACTCCACCGGCACTGCTCTGCGGCCGCCGCCACCCCGTGAGAGAACCGCACAGAGGCGCACCGCTGCCGCTCTCGCACGCGACTGGCAGCTGACCTCCGGCGCCGGCTCGTGCGGCCGGATCTGTGCGGGCCCGGGCCGCCGGCCGAAGGTTCCGGGGTCGAGACTCACCCACACACCTGGCGGATATACGGCTCGCCCTCTCCCACGCTCGACCCGTACGCATACAGAGCAGGGGCCCTGCCCTCCGCTGATGATGAGACGGAGCATGGTCCGGATGGTCCAGATGGAGAGCGCGTCAGTCTGGGCTGGCAGCCGGGCCAGTTTCACGAGCATAACACTTTGAGATAGGGTTGTTAAACGTACGCTGATGAGCAGTCAATCAGTGATTGTTTGCTGCATGAATGCGGACGTCTTTCGAGGACTGACCCGAAAAAGAAAGGCAGCACACGTCCGGGTTGGATCTCACAAATCAGTGCCCGATAACCCTACGGGAGTAGCAGGACTGTTTGGGCTCC